TGGCCGTAAAAGCCTTCGCAAATACAATTTCTAAATATGCTTGTAGATATTTTACTTTAAGAGATATCAATTCAAAATCTACACTATTTTCTACATGGAAGTACCGTACCTTCTGCACAGAAAATGCATTGTGTGACTAGAGCTCTGAAAAACATTCATGTAAGTTTGTGTGGTAAAACAAAGCAACAGATGCTTTGGCCATCTCTGCACATCAAAAAGTCCCACCTCTGCTCATAAGCCAATGTGGTGAACTGTTGCGGGTTGATCTCAGTGGATGTGGGGACCAAACATGTGCTCCTGGATCCTACTACAGTACAAGATACACAAAAATAGCTTTAGGAAGGGGGGAAAAAAGGAAACCAGAAAGTGCTCAGATGGGCACTTCCAGCTTCTATTTTTGGTTTTTGTTGTTGTTGTTTTAATAGATCATGACAACCCTTCAGACCCCTAATCTGAAAATTGCTGTTTCTGCAAGTTTCTAAGCGTGGATATAGGGTTTTTGTTCACAAGGGAGCTCTGGAGTGATCTTCAGGATTGCACAAATGACAATTGGCTGGGAAGTACTGAGTTTGTGGGCCACATGTTGCCCACTCTGATTTATGCTATATTTACATTCATTAGAGGTACCACAGAGCAATGAAAGAAGTGTTGGAACTGGACTGGAAATTCTTAGAAAAGTTAAATGCTCTATCATAAAGCTCACTTGTGCAGTCTCAGTCTAGTTATTCTATCTCAGTGTAACAAACTTCACAAGTCTGTTGTAAAAATCAAATGAAGAATCCCACATATATGAACTTTGCAGAAGAAATAAGTGTGATTTTTTTAAAAGTGGGTAGATCATAACTGTTATTGTGGTATATGAAAAAGGAGATACAGGTTTCACAAAAGGCTCCCTCCAGTATATAATGTTCATTTTTGTCAGAGAATCAGGCTTTCAATATTAAAACCTCCAGGTACACAGTAAAGGAAGATGTGCATTAACCAACGTTTCCAAGATGTACAGTATTTGAAATACTGAATACAGAGTGTATTTAAGTAATATAACCTAAAACTTACTAGAGAATGATTGTTCCTAGGGCCAAAAAGGGTCACAGTTACAAAGAGTCATAAGTTACGAAATTTCTGGAGAATTTATCTGTTGCATACTGAGTCACACACCTCAGTACTGTATATTGTAGACATCTATGAAGATTTGACTGTAGTTGGGTAATCCTATTTGTGTAATTGTGCAACAGGATTTCAGCCAGGATGTCAGGATATGTAGATATTTAGGAATTTTGATATGGATGTGTTAACAGGACCCTATTAATCTTCAGGCAGTCTAGGGAAGATTTATTAACACAGACAGAATACTGCCTGCAACTGCTGCATTTTACAGGGAAACATGTATCTGTTTTTAATTAACATGTTTGCCATTGGTTGTTGTTGTTTGCATATAACGTGATTAAAAAAATTAAGGAGAAAGTCTGGCCACCTTGTTCTGAACAACACAAGTATCTTTTTATAATAGCATAGGATTAAGCTCAGAAGTCGCTGATATTACAGTGGTGCCCCGCAAGATGGGCGCTCCGTTTAACGATGAAACCGCTTGACGTCGATGTTTCTGCAATTGCAAAAGCGATTGCAAAACGATGTTCCCTACGGGGGAATTTCGCTTTGCGATGATCAGTTCCCTGCTTCGGGAACTGATTCTCGCACAGTGATGATTTCTAACAGCTGATCGGCGGTTTCAAAATGGCCGCCCGCTGTTTTCTGGGATGGATTCCTCGCTGCACAGGCAGCAAAAATGCCTGTGCTATGGAGGATCTTCGCTGGATGGTGAGTTTCCAGCCCATAGGAACACATTAACCGGGTTTTAATGCGTTTCTATGGGCTTTTTAAAATCGCTTTACGATGGAACGAATTAACATCAGAGTGCGAGGCACCACTGTAAATGAGGCATTGAGAGATCCAGAGCACATGCTTTGAATAAGGAAGATGGCATCCTCCAGTATACTCACATATGACCCGAAAAAAACAGTGGGACTTGAACAGTGGAAAACTGCTTCCATAGGATACTGAACTAGATTGTCTGACTCAGTATATATTAGTTTACAGATGATATCACAAAATTAAAATGAGGGATTCAAGATGCTGGCACCACTGTTGTTTCTATCAAGAGTACAAACAACTGTATAAACCGGACGTTCCCTTCTACAGCACAAAGTGGAAAGAGCAGCATAAACTGAATCCCAGAAATGCCTGCTACAAAGGACAATGGAATGTGGTGGGTGGAGAAGAAAATTTCTTGCAGAAAGAGATCCAGTATGGTATGTAGGATATACAGCACGAAACCACCACCAAAAAAAGAGGAAATTCAAAGTTCCCTCAGCAACTATGAAAACTGGGGCTTTCTGTTCCTCTTGCCCATGTTCTACTTGATATGCAAAGTAAAAAAAGATAACTAAGGAATTCATAATGAGGAGTGAATTTCTAGCTAAGCCATGATTCCAGCAGCATTAAAAATTCAAGTATGGCCTGTCTGGAACCAATGGTAAATGCAACAAGTTCTTTCATTGCAGTTACCTTGAACTTTCAATTTTCTTTCCTTTAATTTGTTTTTGTACATATTAAGTAAAAAAACTCATAAAAATAATGAGTTCCACTTAACAGACATTAATGATATTCTCATTTTCCCTTCTATTATTAATCATTCCAAACCAAGTAGTGCACAGAAATATTTTATTTCTCTTTCATAATTCACATTTCGATTATTCTGCAAAATCCTTGGATAAGATTGTCTAAATAGCCCTTCAAAGTATACATTTTTAAGATCAAACATAAGCACTATACACAAGTGCAATTTAACTTGCATTTAGCAATTCTCTAACCTCCTGTGTCATCTTCATTAAGTCTGTAATCTTGAAACCATGAAAATGGACAGTTCTGTATTTTACAAATGAGTTGCAGCCAAACTGAAAAACCACATTCTCCCATATAAGTCTTCCCAGGTTTTAAGATCTTCAAAGGAAGCTGTCCTCTTAGTTCCACTATTTCCATAAGCATATGAGAACATGAGATGCATCTTTTGGTAGCTGCTCCTGAATGATGGAACACGTTTCCACATTACTCCCCCACCCCCGACAGTCCTTCCAACACTAGGCAAGCTTTTGGCAACTGGATGACTGTGGAGAGAGGACCGTTCAATGGGGGGATTGTGGGTTTTTTTAAAAAAATTACTGATCTGTTTTTGAAATATTTTAAATGGTTTTAAGTTAGTGATCTAATTTGTGTGTGTTTTAATCTAATTGTTTTCTAAACCACCTTTGGTCCTCTGCATTGGGGAAAAAAGTAGTACAGTACACATGAAATAATACATAATAAGAATCCAAGCATGAATTTGGTATGTTTTTACCACAGCCTCAATGATCACAATCCTATCATTTACATAACAGTGCTGAAATCAAATCGTCAACACTGCACTCCCACTACCATAGTTCAGAAGCTGGTGCTTGTATGGCTTACTACCCATCAAGTCATGCCACTTCAATTTATGCTATCTAACTTATGTTGGTGTATCTCAGTAATAAGTTTCTTGCTACTGTCAAAAAATTAGTCAGTATAACCAGTCACATCAATTTCAAATTGTCTTCTATTACAAAGCGATTACACAACAGGGAAGTACACTACTAGGGAAAGTTTAAACATCCTATTCTTAAAACCAAAAACATTTCCAAGGTATGAATGTCAAATACCAACAGGAGAAATCAATCAATGTTTTCAGGCATACAGCAAAAATTGAGATACTGTACTTGCCATTTAACTTCCGGATGTAATAAACACCAGAGGCCCATGGATCTAGTGTGTACAACATTTTTTTTAAAAAAAATCATGTTGAAAGCAGAACTTAAGGGTTCTACAGTAGTTCTCACTTATGGGGATATTTTAGCAGTACTGTACATCCATTTGTCTTAGTATCACAGCCACTGATGTAATAACATTGATGATAGCCAAGACCTCTGAGCTATGGTAGCTGTTTCTTGATCACCTGTGGCTCCCGAGGGTCTCCTGTGCAAAAACCTTCTATGAATTACCATAGCTAGTCACTGCCCATGAGGCTTGGTTGCAGGAACATCAACGACACACCTGCAGCATTTACAACTACTGTACTGTCAAGTACATGTAGCCCATGAGGCTTGGTTGCAGGAACATCAATGACACACCTGCAGCATTTACAACTACTGTCAAGTACATGTGTGATGTTTGTGTATAGGTAACTGTGACATGTAAGAACATGACTAAGATGCCTAAGGATGCTCAATTCAAAATGTACACACACACACACGTACACACGTACACACGTACACACGTACACACACACACACACCCGTTAAACAGACCAGGCTCAGAAATTCAGCAGTAAAGCCATGTTTTGTCTTCCTGACCCCATACAAGTAGCTGGACGGCCCAGCCTTGCGTGTCTCAGAAAAATCCTCCTTGAACAAAGCCCAGAAAGGAGGACGCGTCTCCCTGCGCTCCCGTTCCGAATCAGACTACTCGGAGGAGGAAGAGGCCTCCTGATCTCCCAAACGGTCTCCATTCCAGAACTGGAGCCAGTGTCGGGCGGCAGCCCTTCCTGGGCGCCACTTTCGTTAGCTGGCTTCCCCGTCCCCGGGAGGCAAACTAAACACCGCACTCCCCTCAGTCAGTCCCTTCCCTACCGAGGATGTGGGGCTCACCCCCCTAACTGGGGGAGGGCAAACTCGGGGAGACTTTATGTCGGTTGCTGTACAGGCGAGGCGCTGGGAAGGAAGCCGAGAGGAAGCGAGGCCTCTGCAGCGGGGAACGAGGCGAGCCTGAGCCGAGCTAAAGCAGGGATGATGCACCCCGTCCAGAGGAAGCGCCCCACCGGCCAAGTTCTCTTTCGGTCGCCGGAAACTCCTCAGAAATGGCTCTCTTTCTTTCTCTCCCCGCTCCCTCCCCTCCCCCTAGCCGCAGCTCGCCCTCCCTTTTTTCCTCACCTCAGGCCGCCTCCATCCCGAAGTGCTCCGAGCAGACAAGCATCGCTGTTGCGGCCATTTCCTGCCGTCCCCGCCACGGAGAAAGTTACTGGAGAGCAAGAAGCCAGCCGACCTCCCCCCGCCCTCCTCCTTTTCGTTCTCTCCTTCCTCCGGCGGCAGCGGCGGCGGCTTGCCCGCCTCTTTCGCTCCCGCGCTGGTCGGGGCTGTGGCGACCGCCTGCCTTCACTTCCGGCCCTCGGCGTCCAGAGGCCGGCTGGAGGGAAGGGAAGGGAAGCGGGACGAGGCGGAGCGGAGCGGGAGGAGGAGGAAGAGGAGGCAATGCTGGTCGTCGGTCGCCTTCCTCTGAGAGGGGCTAGTTGCTCAAGATGCCCTGCGGGAGAAGGAGGGCTCCACTACAAGGAAGGGAGTCCTGGCTGTGGAGGAGGAGGAGACGAAGGGCTGCTGAGCGACTCCATGCCGCCCGCTTTGGGCCCCATCTCCCCCAGCAGCGACTGGATTCCCCGCGCTTTTATTTTATTATTTATTTTATTTATACCCCGCCCATCTGGTCTTCCGACCACTCTAGGCGGCTTCCAATACATAGATAAAAACGTACAGATATACACAAAAATTATAATATGAGCGAATAAATTAGAAATTATTCAAGATGGCAAAAAGAAAGGAAAGGTATAAAGAAAAAAGAGTGATAAAGGCTTTCCCCCTCGTCGTGTCTGTCCCCTTTGAGAGGACGGGGGGGGGGAAAGAGGAACTAGCCCAGTTGCGGATTTGGGGTGTCGTGAAATGACGTATAACGGCGCCTTAATTTAATGTGCCTATAATGTTTTCACAGCTATAACTTCCAGTTGGCGAGGAATGGGCACCGTCTCCCACCCAGTCCACCCTGACGCTTGGGAGTCAGTACAGCCCCCTCAAGAAAAAGGCAGAGGCGAATGCCCTCTCTTCCCCCCTCCAAAAAAAGGTGTTAATTATTTAGCATCATCTCTAAGCATCCTTTCTCCTGGTGAAGGTTTATATTTTAAAAAGAGAGAGGGAAAAGTGAATATCAGTTGATTCACCTCCAGATTTTAATACTGTACTCTAAATTTTTATGCCCTCAGGAGAAGCTTGTGCATAGTAGAAAAGAGTGTGGGTCTAGGACTCAGGAGACCTGGGTTCAAATCCCTGCTCAGCCATGGTAACTCACAGGGTGGCAGTTGAAATGATAAAACCACTTTTAAAATATCTCACATACCTTGAAAGCCCTACTGTTGTGCTGTTGTGCAGTCAAGTTGCCTTTGATTCATGCAATCCTATGAATTACAGTAGTGCTCTCCAAAATACTGTATCTTGTCCTCAGCTGCTTTGCTCCCTTCCGCCTCGTCCTGCTTCCCTTCCCTCCAGCTGGCCATGGTCTCTTTTAGGAAGTCATTCCATCTCATATTTGGTCTTCCTGTTTTCTTGCTGCTTTCCACCTTTTCCAGAATTACAGTACTGTCTTTTCTAAGGAATTGTCGTTTTACAAAAGCCCTATTAGGGTTCCCGCAAGTCGGTTCGGACTTGACAGCACAAAAGACAACACACACAGGAAAAGGCGAAGTTGCTGTTTGCTAGTCATGACCCTGGTTGGTTTTTGAGCTGGAAGGGTGGGTTTTTCAAGAAGAAATGCTGATCTTAAATAACTACATAGAGCAAAATACTGTATGTACTGCTCTTCTTAGGCAACAATGTGATTGAGCTGGGTCTGCTGTGGAAGCAAAAATTGTTCCTTCATGGAGAGTGTTTACTTATCCCCCTCCACTACCCCATTAGCAGCATAGTGGGGAGAATTGGCCTTAGGCCTAATGCTACCACTGTGCACCCAGAGGGAGAGAAGATGTTTAAAATCTACATGAAACCACTGGGGGAGGTTGTCTGGAGTTTGGGGGGTTCGGTGTCACCTGTATGTGGATGATACCCAACTCTTTCTCTCCTTTCCACCTGAGTCTGAGGAAGCTGTTTTGGCTTTAGATCAGTGTCTGGTATCAGTAGTAGGTTGGATGAGGGTGCATAAGCTGAAACTTCATCCAGACAAGACAGAAGTGCTCCTGGTCAGTCGAAAAGCAAATCAAGGAATAGAGATGCAGCCTGTGCTGGACAGGTGAGCAGCTTGGAAGTGCTCCTGGATTCATTTCCGAGCCTGGATGCCCAGGTTTCAGTGGCGTCCAGGACTGCCTTTGCAGAATTACAACTACTGCACCAGCTGCACCTGTTCTTGGAGAGGTCTGACCTGGCCAAGGTGACACTCAGCTGCACCTGTTCCTGGAGAGGTCTGACATGGCCAAGGTGACACATGCCTTAGTCTTGGTTGGATTACTGTAACACACACTATGTGGGGTTGCCTCTGGAAAGTGTCCAGAAACTTCAGCAAATCCAAAACTTAGTACTGTAACCAGATTGCTTTCTGGAAAGTGTCCAGAAACTTCAGCAAATTGAAAACTTAGCAACCAGATTGCTAACTGGGGCTGATGACAGGGATCACATAACCCACTCACCCCCATTACAGCAACTCCACTGGCTTCTAATCCATTTCTGCACACAATTCAAAGTATTAGTTCTAACCTATAATGCCTTAAGCAGCTTGGGTCCAAGGTATCTCAAGGACTATGTCTCCTTTTATGAGTCTTTTCAAGTCTTAAGATCTTCAGGAGAGGTGTTTCTCTTAGATCTACCACCTTCACAGCTGCATTTGGTGGGGGACACACAGGGCCTTCTCTGTTGTTACTTCCAGAATTTGGAATGCCTTCCCAAAGGAGGCCAGGCTGAGCCCATCGATACAGCTTCCCAAAGGAGGCCAGGCTGAGCCCATCAATACTGTTCTTCTGCAAGCAGGCAAAGACCTTTCTCTTCAAGCAAGCTTTCCCTCAGTGAGGTTTTTTAATGGTTATGACTATTACTGCATTGAATGTGTTTTTGTTTTTCCTTTTGTTTACTGTCTTTTAGTGTGGTATTTGCTTGCTCCTTTTTAGTACAGTATTTGTATATTTACTGTTGTTAGATTTAAATATTGTCTTTTAATGATGTAAGCCACTTTGGGTCCTTTTTAAGGAGAAAGTGGGGATGAAATACTTTAAATAAATAAAATTGTGTGCCTTCCATGACTAACATTCCATTGTTACCTTTATAAAGATGATTAAACCACTGCAGTAATCAGATTAGAAACTTGCTCTTAACTGGATTTGAATTTCAATGTGCTTTGTATTGATTATACATACTATATGATGGTGTATTTTAGTTTTTATTATGACCTATTGTCATAATAACCATAAAGTTTAACAGTGATCTTGGTCTGTCTGGTGTGTAGATGAAAGGGCAGCATGATAAATAGGAGACAGATTATATCTAAGGCCTCCACCCCTCCTGAGTGAGTGATTTTCTATATGCAAATGTATGGCTTCCCTGATCCCTCTCTCAAACCACCTATCTTCTCTGTCCAAAAGGAGTACATCTTGGTCATCAAATGAGTGTCCTTTGTCCTTCAAATGAAGGAACACTGCTGATTGTGGTCTGGAGCCATTGCCCCTCCTGTGCTGGGCCATTCTCCTGTTTTGTGGCTGTTAACCTCACTTGGATGACTGAGAATCTTCACAGATACATTTCTGCAACAAGGTTTGGGCAAGTTGATGGTTGTTACTGCCTCTGACTCCTCGCTATGCTCCCTCTGCCACTTCTTGTTTTCATGATTATGTGATAAACAAATTCTGCAGTGAAGCTTTTACCCACTTACAAAAGCAACAATGGGTTGAGTGTTGCTGGCTGTTTTTTCCTGGCATTGGCCAGTTAAGAGCATAGGAAGAAAATTAGGTACCTTTATCACATGCCACTGTAAGTGGTTAGATCATTTTCTGTTCATGTTGTTGATTGAACATTGCCCGCTACTCACATTATCCTGAAATGAAGGTGAATATGTATGGGGAGGCATCTCAGGTGACACATCGAAATCCTTTTGGAGATGGGGGTCCTTTTTGTTTGAACAGTCACAATGCCTTTTAAAAGATGGGTGCTAGTCAGAAGTTCTACAGGTTATGTTATGATAAACCTTATGTATTTCTGCTTGTTGTACTGCTACATAAAGGTGATGGAATCTCATCAAGAAAGAGGACAGCAAAAATAAAGTGGTCACTAAAAAAGCTTGCTACTGCTTATCCTATGGCAGTCGGCAGAATCAGTAATTTCCCTTCCTCCAAATGGTAGAACTATAATTGTTAGTACCTACAACTTTAAAATGTTGATCTGGAGTGAAGCAACAGCACTGGAGTGAAAGTACAGCCTGAACATTTGTTGCCTTCCTGATAAATAAAAATCCCTCCCACTACTAACCTCACTGGCTGTTTCCTGTAATGGGTGGTGACAACCGGCAGTGGGGTGACTGAGAGGGGTTGGATTTCATGCTTAGGCTCAGACAACATGACTTTTGTTCTTAGCGACGTGCTGTTTATGGCAGAATCTATTATCATTATGCTGGGACCAGGCTGAGGTTGTCACCCATTTCTGCCCGAGCGACTTTGTTTTAGAGCAGTAAGGATAACATGATTTTGTGCTCCTCAACTATTAATCCATATCTCACATGGAAAATATTTTAATATCACTGTGTAAGCATAGAGTATATGAGGAAACTTCACAGATTTAGTTTTGGATTTGAACACATGCTAGAGAATTGTTCTGCTTTTAAACTACTACACATTGTTCTTTAAACAAGCCAGTGTTTAGTTAGCACTGGTTCACTGATTCACTGACAAATTCACATGTCCTGTATATTGGTTTGTGTAGCTTCATGATGAAATGTGATGTCCTCAGATTCAAAGAAGTGGAAGAAAATGTCCTATTAATCATTTCAACTTCCTTATCATCATATCTAAGTAAGGATGTTGTGGATTACTGGAAACTTGCACAACAACTATGTTGGAATGCAACACTGAACTTCTTATCATTAGCTGTTGGCAGGGAGGCCACAATGTACCTAGGGGAAGATAAACTTAAATACATGAAGAAATGCATCAAAAGAAATGTGTCATAGTGAAATATTGATTAAGCAGTGGGTATTTATATTTTCAGTTACTGTAGGCCATCAGGATGACTAATTTGTTTATTTTGTTTCCTTCAACAGGCTGGCAGACTAACATTTAACTCCTGGGGACTGTCTGTGGCTTAAATCTAAAGTTATGCTGGCAACTGAACTCCTTCCTCATCCTTGCAGGCATACTACCCAAAAACTGAGTGCTGATTGTTCACAGCCCTGCAGAACAGTTTACACATTGTTGTTGTTTTTGTAGTATTTTATTTAAAATAAAATAAAAATTTTATTTAAAATTATATTATCTTTATTTAAAATGTATTAATTTATTTTAAATAAAATAAAATGTCTTACAACAAAGTTGTAGGTGCTTGGGAAGGGAACAGATATCTTCTGTTAGATTTTAGCCTATGTAACTGAATTCATTTTTTAAAACTTAGTTGCTTTTTCTACATTCAAACTACAATACTAGTTAGTGTTTCATTAATGTAAGCCATTATGTGGGGTATTGGAAATGGCATATAAAGTACATGTCCCACTGTCTTTCTTCCCCTGTAATTGCTTGCTTTCTGAAAAAAATTTTTTTATTTGTCCTAAAACTTCATAGTATA